TCTCGAACTGTGGAGTATCTCCAGTATTGAGTATAAAACTGCCGACAATGCTGTATATTTATTACGCACGTGTATACAACATTTGGAAGCCTATCTTTTGATTTTACTTTTAAATCATCAAAAGCATTTCTTAGTTTTACGGTATAATCGCTCAATAATATACACAAATTTAAAACTATCAAGTATAATGTGTTTTTCTTGGTGCGCCTTACTCATTTTATGAAACTTGTTTAAAATACGATTCCAGTGTTCCAACATGAATGCAAAGTAATTCTTCCATGTTATTTTCTCACGAATTATGCTAGTTTCTCTTTTTGTTTCGCCATTTTTAGTAACATCAATACGTATTATTTCTAAAGCATCAGTCTGAGTTTTAATTCGTTTCTATAGCATTTCCATGTGCTTCCCATCTGGTATCTAATAAACATTTTATCGGTGGTGAATACATGATTTCATCACAGCCATAGTTTGTTTGAAGCAAGGAAAAGTGTACGTTTGTTGTAAGCAGCAACGTAATTGACAACATCTAAGTAGCAATCCATTGCAGTCTTGCCAACTACATATAGTGAGTTAGAATATAGAATAATTGTGTGTTTATCTGTTTATCTATATTATTCATTTATCCAATGAATTTTTGTACACTTTAGCAAACAAAACTTAGAATCGATGTTCAGTCATGTAGCGTTATGTATTAGTCACATATATATTGCAGTCTTATACTTCAAGCAAAGCGGTTTTACTTTCAAGGGCGGACAGATAGAGCGATTTATTGGTAGCCCAAAATACAACATAAACATTTTAGCCAAATCTATAACATCAATATTATGACTTGTTCTCTTTTATAATCTTTTTGTTTGTTTAGTAAGCCTATAATCATCAAAACGGCGACAGAAACATTTGAATTTTAAAAATTTTACATTTTATATTTAAAAAAAAATGTTTATTTTGAAATAAAATATTTAAATGAACAAAGAATTTCAGTAACTGTTTATTCTTTTTGCATGTGTGGATGTTAATGTGTGGGTGTCTGGTACAATTTTGTTTACCCTACAGAGTTCATCTTTATTTCAACACCGGAGTAAAATCCTCACTTCTGTAACCTGTTACCGGTGTGTTAATATTTTATAATTAATTTAGAAGGATTTGGAAGAAAAGAATTGGCCTGAAATGAGACTGAAACTAACTTTTGTTTGCCATGCAGACACATTGCCAGTTACCTATCTGTCACACCTTAATTCATTACTTTTAAATTTAACTAGTAGCATTAATACAGCTCAATTTGGCATTAATTAAACCAATTTCTCCAATTGAAGGTTGCTTATATTGTGACGTATAGAACTGTGGTGGTCTTTTCCCTCCCATTATAGATAATCTTTTCTCTCCAGTCGATTGATACTGCAGAGTGCTACTACCACTTTCCATTTGTCCATTTTGATCTTCAGCTTTTACATATAATACATATTCTTTATCTAATATATATTCTTTCTTTAGCAGTCAAAAATTACATAATAGCTTTAGATTGATCACAATTGTTAAAGAAAATATAGTAATCATGACTTTCCTGGGTATCTACACTAGTTTTCTGATAAATGTGAAGACCTATTACTATCATAATTAGTGTTACTGATGTTAGTCAGGGCTATTTTGATAATAGAACTATATTATTGCAATTTCACACAATTTATTGCATTTGGTTTATATTTTTTATTAGAAATCTTTAAAAAAAAATTTTAAATGGGAATAATGTTTATGAAAAGGAGATTATGTGACCCATAAGAAAAATTGGCAATTCACCTCAGGTTNTATAATCATCAAAACGGCGACAGAAACATTTGAATTTTAAAAATTTTACATTTTATATTTAAAAAAAAATGTTTTAAAGTAGCATATCAACATTAGTTATGTGCCGGATCGTTAAAAATGTATATCAGCGGATACGGATATAGATACGGATCATTAGTGTCTAGATCCGCGGATATGGATACGGATCTCAACTTTCGTACTCAGTCGGCGCCGGTGCTTGTGACCTTGGACCGATAGTTAATGCTTTGCGTTAGTAGCGCGACATGTTTTGACTTGCACTGCGCGTGTTTTTGTTTATAGTTTAGTGTGACACGGGATAGCATAGATTACGTTTGTATCTTTGGAGAGTGTTGAGTTAAATTAAATTAAAAACAACGTCGACAAAAAAGTTTAGTAGTGTAATATGGAAATATTTTACGATGGTAAATGAATTTTGCATGATAAAATGTTTGCAATATGAATGTGCCAAATATGTGATTTTATGAAATAAAAAGTGATTTGTATTTTATTACTACCTATCTTTAAAATTTCATATAAGTAATGAAATTCATTAAGATAAAAGATCCGTTAAAGATCCGCTAAAAGTAACGGATACGGATGTTTTTTTTCCCTCGGATATCCGCGGATACGGATACGGATATCCGGCACATCATTAATCAGCGTGTGCGTAGAACAACGAGCTAGAATACTATATAGAGGGGCTGAAGCGACGCCAAATGTTGCATTGCCTTATTCCATCTGTTAAATTTCTCTCCTGTCATTACCTATGTGTGTAACAATGATTTGTACTATATAAACTTTTGTATTTGTATTGTGTATGAAACTATGTTGAAACTCAAATGGAATGCAAGGTGAAAAAGTTCCGATCTGATAGAGGGACTGAGTACATGAATGAAGACCTGCGTAAATTTTTCAAGGAGCATGGTATTAAAGTTCAGACCACAGCACCAGATTGCCCTCAACAGAATGGCAAGGCAGAACGGAAAAATCGCTCTCTTTGTGAGATGGTAAGAACAATGTTGCATGATGCAGAATTAGGAAAATGCTACTGGGGTGAGGCATTAATGACGGCAAATCATATCTAGAACAGATTACCATCGAAAAAGGACCCAATGACATTGAGACAGCTTTCTTGAATGGCGACCTACACCACACAGTGTATATGCAGCAACATAAAGGCTACGACACAGAAGAACCGAGCAAAGTTTGCAGACTTGTGAAAAACCTTTATGGATTGAAACAGGGAGCTACTGAGTGGAACAAAAAATTGCATGAAGTACTGATTGAATGCGGTTTTGCGCAGTGCATAAATGACCCTTGTCTGTACACCGGAAAAAGATGCTATGCAACAATATACATCATTGTACATGTTGATGATGTAATTGCAGCATCAACCTTCAAAGAAGCGTTAGATTGGCTTTAAGTGGAAACTAACAAATATTTCCACATGAAAAACCTCGGAAATATTGATCATTACCTCGGAATCAAATTTGATCGAGATGGTGATGGAATATTCCATCTAAATCAAAAACATTTTATAACTGACAAACTAGTAGAATTTGGACTTCAAGGTGCAAAAACCAGCAAGATTCCCCTTGATCCTGGATATTTTAAAATTAAAGAGCAAGGACCAAGAATGGAAAGTATCAATAATAAACTGTACCTGAAAGGTATAGGTAGTTTACTGTACCTTGCAACTAACACACGCCCAGATATATTGGCAGCAGTTTCCATCCTCTCCCAATGTACTAAGGAACCAAGAGCAGCTGACTGGAATGAGATGAAGAGGGTGTTCCGATATCTGAAGGGAACAGCTGATTGGAAGCTGAAATTAGGTGAAAAGAGCAACGCTAGAATCACACTAGAATGTTTCGTCGACTCAGACTGGGCAAGTGATAACACAGATCGAAAGTCGCATACAGGATATGTCTTTAAATATCAAGGCAGTCCTGTATCGTGGTACAGTAAAAAGCAAAGCAATGTGACACTGTCCTCGACTGAAGCTGAGTACGTTGCATTTTTGTGACGCTACCCAGGAGGCTGCTTGGCTGAAGCGAGTGTTTCTGGATCTTGGGGAAACCGTCGATAAGAAAGTAACTATGTACGAGGATAACCAAAGTTGTATGAAAGTAACGGAGAATGATCGTGTTAGTCAACGTACGAAACATATTGATGTTTCGTACGTTGACTCACACGATCATTCTCCGTTACTTTCATACAACTTTGTCAAATATCATTTTGTAAGAAATGAAATGAAGAATGGGAATGTATGTATTATGTACTGCCTTACCAAGGAAATGGTAGCAGACATTTTAACAAAACCAGTGTGTACTGGAAAACACGTTAAATGTGCTAGACAACTTGGACTCAATGACTGTAAGCAAAATGGGACAAATCATTGAGGGAGAATGTTAAATTTCTCTCCTGTCATTACCTATGTGTGTAACAATGATTTGTATTATATAAACTTTTGTATTTGTATTGTGTAGCAACGCTTCGTGTCATATAACCAATGTATTATTTTTTATAATAAATAAACGGCCATGACGTGGCGTCTTTTATCAAGCCCGCTACTTTTTGGTTCGATATGACTTGAAACGGATCAAAGTAGTCGTGTATGATTTTTTAAACTTGTAAGGTACTCACTATCTGTGAACACATAACTTGCAACAATGATATATTTAACACCATCAATTCAAACTGGTACGACCGAAGACGTGCTCGGGGGGTATGCTAATGTTACAATGACATTCCCTCTGCACACAAGGATCTGTGTTGAGTGTAATTAGTTCTAAGTATTATCTTAATACATTTTGACAGCTGGACCGCCCGATGGTCGATGTGGTAGAAGGGTCTTTTAATGAACAATATACAGTCTGTAAGTGTGAATTGGAAACCGATCCACACTTGCAGACTCGGCATATTGCTCATAAAAATACACAGTCGACCTCGTTCTTTCACCACTCGGCCGCTCCCGTAATGGGCCTAACCGAACCAAAGACGAGTGTGATTAAAAGGCATTCTTAGCGCCTACGGGTCGGAAAGAAATAAAAATGAAAAAATAATAGGAAATGTTTTATTTTAAATCATCTACATCTTTCTAATATATGATCTTAATATTATAATTTTTAACCAACGAAAAACATTCATTATTCATAATTGTTATTTCCGTCGTGTAAAAGGACACCAACTTTTACCGTCAGAGGACAGACAAGCAGTCTGCAGGAAAGACATACGGAAGACAAGTCATTCAAAAACAAAGATGTTTTCCGGTTAATTCGAAAAAAATTTTTAAAAATGAAATATTGAATATAATATTATCAAGAACGCCAAGTTTTAATCAATTTACATCGTTGGTATTATGCCCAGTTATATTTTCTAGTTTTATATAAATTCTACTCTGCCAGATTGTAGTGAAAATATGTTGAGATACGAATCATTTGATACCAGAAAATGGAATACGTTACGTTGATTATCGATAGTGCATCGATATATTTACGAGTAATTAAAGTATACGCTGTGGTAAGAAAATCTAACATCAATGTGCGATGTTTGATCAAATGATACCATAGGAAGAGTATGAGGAACAGAAGTGATTTTGCTAAATCATTTTCTACTCCGAGATTCAGTTGTTGTGGTCCCATGTGTCCGTCGTTTACTGTAAAATCGTATCTGAAACTTTTGATCAATACGTGGTCATTTTTTGTTACATTGAGAACTGTTGGCTTGATTATACTTTGTTATAGTATTTCAATAGGAATTACGTTTTATCAAAAATGGTTTATCAAAGTAAGTTTTATTTTCAATTTTTTTTTTATCTATGGAAATTCTGTATGTTAAAATGAATGATTATTATTAAATATGGTTATGAAAAACAATGATAATTACTGTACTTTTGCTTTATAAAACCACTTGTTTTTGTACTGTACCTAAAATTAGAATGTGTCCTATAAGCTGGTGTGTTGTATACATTCAACCCCCCCTACAACACTGTTGAGAATTCCGTTTTATATGAAATCCATGTTGTATGAGTCACTTAGATTTTACAAATACATGTGCTGGGCTGTGAACGGCTCACGTATTTGTAAAATCTAAGTGACTCATACAACATGGATTTCATATAAAACGGAATTCTTAACAGTGTTATAGGGGGGTCAACTGGGTACTTTAAAGAATATATTTTCTTTCCTAAAAAATCTATGTGAGAAATGTGATACACCCAATAAAGTGTTGTGTAGTATAAAGTGAAAAATACAGTAGTTATAAAAGAAAAAAACACTAACTGTTCATAAATGTTTGCTGCATTAATATTAATTTTAATAAGTGGAGTCGAAATGTACAGTACAATGTCGCTGTTATTTCGGTAAGAGTTTAAGAAATATCTTTATTGCAACTGCAGATATCCCATCTGATCAAACTAAACTTTAAAATAAACTTTTATTTACATAAAAATAAACTTTTATTTACATAAACTTGCACTGCACGTATCAAAAAGAATATGATGCATATAAGTTATGTAGGTAAATATGCTAATTTTTTATTCCACAATAAATGATTTTGTTGATTTTAATAAATCAACATAAATTTGTAAATTGCAATTTACAAAAAAGTAAAGTAATTTTCATAAAATTCCTAAAGGACAATTTGCTGATTTCAACATATCTTCTAACTAATTATCGGTGCTAATGACCTTGCTGCAAATTGTATTTAAGTTAAAAATTTTAATAAAATCAGCAATTTGCAGCAAGGTCATTAAGATAAAAGTTGCCACATTAAGAATTTGTTTTAAAAATTGAACTTCATAAATAAATAGTTAAATAATTTATTAATAATAGACATCATCAAGATATATGCAAAGGAAATAGCAACTGCAGAGAAAATATGCAGTTTAAAATAGTAGCATAACTATTATTCAAATAAAACCAGTATAGGAATAATTTTTCTGAAGTGGGCTATTCAATTTATGCATCTACTTTTTTAATTAAGTTTAATTTTAATACATTTAAAAGTATAATTATTACTACAGTTATTCTTATATATAGTTATCTAATTTATTATTTTACAACTTTGCTGATTTTATTAAAATTTTTAACTTAAATACAAAGTTGTGAAATAATAAATTAGATAACTATATATAAGAATAACTGTAGTAATAATTATATTTTTAAATGTATTAAAATTAAACTTAATCAAAAAAGTAGATGCATAAATTGAATAGCCCACTTCAGAAAAATTATTCCTATACTGGTTTTATTTGAATAATAGTTATGCTACTATTTTAAACTGCATATTTTCTCTGCAGTTGCTATTTCCTTTGCATATATCTTGATGATGTCTATTATTAATAAATTATTTAACTATTTATTTATGAAGTTCAATTTTTAAAACAAATTCTTAATGTGGCAACTTTTATCTTAATTCATAATGAATGTTACTTTGTATGTAATAAGAAAATAATTTAAAAATACATCTACTGCATATTGTATATATTATATATTTCATTTTCTATTAAAGTTTGTTAGGTAAATAAATATGATACCTACTTACCATAGTTTACAGTATTTATTAATTTTACATTGTTTCCTTAAGTTTTCAGAAATCTTTATATAATAATGTAGATTTGGCTACTATTTAACAATGGTTATCATCTCAAGCTTTAAGGATGAGATGCTGTTACTATTCAAGAATGGTTATTATTCAAAGTTTCATTCAAATAACATTAAGCTTTATCCAAAATAATTTGCAAAGGACAATTGATATTCAGTTCTTTTTCTTTCTTTTGAAATTTATTTTGGTTAGATTGTAAAATACAATTTAACACCTCAGATACTTAATCATTGGAAATTTGTAAAGCCCATAATAAACAGGATTATATCAACTTAAATACATAGACCAGGACACTTTATTGTTTGCTTGGTGATCTATTCATAAAGCCTAGCTTACTGTGTATACAAATTAAAATACAGTATGCTTTTATTTTATTTTTCTTACTTTAATTTTATGCTTCTTTATGTCATTATTTTTGTTATTTTTCTTATTTGATTCTGTTATGTTTAGAAATTGTATATATTCTGTTTATTTTGGAATGTTATATATGTTTGATTCAGTTATTTGTATTATAACTGAGAAAGACCTATTAATTGAGGTCAAAAACATTTTTACTTTAATAAAAACATATTACTGAAATTAAAAATGTTGTTTTCTTTTAATTTTTGGAATCTTATTCATTTTGTATGTTACCTCGTTTTCTATTCTTCTGTTCTTATACAGTTATATTTTAATGCAAGTATTATAATATTTAATGCAAGTAATTACAACATTTTTATTGCTGTATATTGCATATTACATAAAATGCAATTTATGTAGTGATTACTGCACAAACTTACTTGCTGAATTAGTACTTACAAACATCCTTTAATCACACGCATTTATTTTTTTATTGGTCTTATTAAGTAAGGTAAGGTAATTGAGTTTATGTTTAAAACTTGCTAAAGACATGGATTAATAGATAAATAAGTTTTTGCAGTGATTTAGTGTCACTTGGAGAAATTGGTTGTGGTTATTTGATGGACTGGGAATGAGTTGGGATTTTTTAATAAGTAATCAAAATTGTTTATTTCTGCATTCTTGATATTTTAATTATTTTCAGGAATGCAGGATTTGGATAACAGCTGGATTATTTAAATTTTTTCAATAAATTACCAGTTCTCAAACAGATATCCTTCTTTTCTTTTTGTAAAGAATTCTTGTATTCCCTACACTTTTCATAAACAGCCCTGACCAGTAGTTTTGTTCTATTAGAATGAAATACATTTTAAGATTTTATTACAGATTTTTTGGTAGTACAGAATTATATTTTGAACAGATTAAATGTAAAATAGCACACAGAGATATTTACTATTAATTGAAATCAAATTCTGATGATATAATGACTATATTACTAATTTCCTAAACAATGTTTTGATAAGTCTCCATATCATTACATTGAGAAAATTGAATATCCATAAATTTGACTTTTAGATCAATGCCAAACAATTTGGCATAGAGTTAGGTGTTAGGTGCCATGTCTTGATAAATTTAATATAATAAAATTAATATTTTAAATACACAGTTCATCCTTACTTCAACATCGGAGTAAAATCCTCACTTCTGTAACCTGTTACCGGTGTGTTAATATTTTATAATTAATTTAGAAGGATTTGGAAGAAAAGAATTGGCCTGAAATGAGACTGAAACTAACTTTTGTTTGCCATGCAGACACATTGCCAGTTACCTATCTGTCACACCTTAATTCATTACTTTTAAATTTAACTAGTAGCATTAATATAGCTCAATTTGGCATTAATTAAACCAATTTCTCCAATTGAAGGTTGCTTATATTGTGACGTATAGAACTGTGGTGGTCTTTTCCCTCCCATTATAGATAATCTTTTCTCTCCAGTCGATTGATACTGCAGAGTGCTACTACCACTTTCCATTTGTCCATTTTGATCTTCAGCTTTTACATATAATACATATTCTTTATCTAATATATATTCTTTCTTTAGCAGTCAAAAATTACATAATAGCTTTAGATTGATCACAATTGTTAAAGAAAATATAGTAATCATGACTTTCCTGGGTATCTACACTAGTTTTCTGATAAATGTGAAGACCTATTACTATCATAATTAGTGTTACTGATGTTAGTCAGGGCTATTTTGATAATAGAACTATATTATTGCAATTTCACACAATTTATTGCATTTGGTTTATATTTTTTATTAGAAATCTTTAAAAAAAAATTTTAAATGGGAATAATGTTTATGAAAAGGAGATTATGTGACCCATAAGAAAAATTGGCAATTCACCTCAGGTTTCCAATTCGACTATTTGTAAACCACTGCTCTATAAATAGCTAGTTCTCTTGATTACCAAATGTGTTTTCATTTGGAATCTTCACGCCTTAATTTATCACTTTTAAAATTATGATCTTGTAGATACTATAATAAAACCCATGCTATTTGCTAGTTTCTTTATTATATTAGATCATAAAGTTGCAAAATATTTCTTGAAAGTTTTTCAAATCAACTAATATAATAGTGATAAACAATAATTATCACAGAATAAATGTAGTGTATAGTGTTAATGTGATTTTGTTAGAGAAATAATAATAAATTATTTAAAATTAGAATACTTAGATATTGCTACATTAATCAGATTGTAGATTCATGCTTTTCTGTAATGAAAATACAGATTTTATGATTTTCTTAAGTTTCAGTTTTGTTTTAGTTGACAAGCCTAATTATAAACTGTATTTGTTGAACCGATTAGATTATATATTAAAAGAATTAATTTTGGCTTTTTGTTTATATTTTTTATATGTCAGAAAATGAAGTTACAATTTAATGAAAATTCATATTAAAATAATAAAACCATTACATTATTATTTAATATTTATATAATTGATTTTGAATGCTCTGAATATAATCCATATTTGTTTAAAAACTAAAATACTATTCATTTACAAAATAAATTAATAATATTTGTGTGTTAACAGTTTTAGTTTATAATAAGTTTGATTTGTTTATTTGCTAGATTGAATTAAATTAAGTTTAGTGATTTGAAATATGAAAGTTGTTAAATAACATATTAATTGTTCAATTTTGAGAATGATGTGATTATTAAGTTTTTTCTGCATAAATCTTAATTGTAGAAATAACAATCATATCATAATTACAAATACTTTTGATTTTTTTTTCCAGAATTTCCATTTTCCTTTGACAGTTGTTATTTGCCATCTAGTTGTAAAATTTCTTTTGTCTGCTGTTCTTCGTACAATAATAGAACTATACAATGGAAAACAGCGTGTTGTTTTATCCTGGCCAGTTTATTGGAAACAACTTGCTCCTACAGGTAAGAAATATACTGATATCATATTTAATGAATGTAATGAACACTAGTTTTCATGTAACATCAATATTAATAGTATTGGTAGTTTTAATGATATGTATATGTTTTAAATTTTATTAAATCCAAAAATATTAGCAAAAATGGATAGCAGAAAAGTTACTCTGCAGTGGAAAAGATTTAAGTAAAGTTTTAATAAAAGGGAAGTTTATATGTGTGATATTGCAGTTTCTCCTACAGCAAATGCTGGAAATGTATCCCAGAGGTCTCAAAGTTTGGGAATTAGGTCCAGAGATCTAGCAGGCCAGATTCTGCAGATTATGTAATCAGCAAAGAAGTTTTCCAAAAACTATAGTCCAAAAACCAGAACATTGTGAGCAAGCAGTAATACCATCTAGGACAAAGTGGAAACATGGGGCATACAATTTAACAGGTCTCATATGCAATACCATACATATAACTTTAATGTCATTAAGAATTTCTCACTGCACAGTAACTTTTCAGACACCCTGTATGTAATCAACCTCAAAATTAGTTACTTCTTGCATCTCTTGTTAAATATGAAACAATCTAGACATCCTTTTAATTTTTGTAGTTGTTTGAATTATCATTATGCAGTCTCTGCTTAGTTATAAACCAAATGAAAAAAAAAAAAAACATAATGCAGATTTGATGATTTTGGAAGTAGAGTAAGGATTGATTACATTTAGATATTTGACGGAAAGAAAAAAAATTGAAAAGAAATAACTTTTATGAATAACTGATTAGAAATAACTTTTATGAATAACTGATTAGAAATAACTTTTATGAATAAGTGATTTATTATTAAATGATGATTTAAAAAATATAGATTTATATGAAGAATTTTTTAAACTCTCAGTTATTTTGACAAATATAATTGACACAATAATTAAAAACCTTTAATAATAATAATAATAAATTACACACAATGCTGATGCAGGCTGGATCAAGGAGGAGAACGAAAACTTGCTTAACACACCAACTATGCCCTGTGCTGAAATAAACATACACGACATCCGCTACACTGTTAACAGAACACACAACTGGAAGGCATCTGGTGTAGACAACATTCACAGTTTCTGGTACAAAAAATTTACATTACTGCACCAGGAACTATCTAAACATCTAACACACATCATCATCAATCCACAAGACATGCCAAAATTTCTTACTCAGGGCATCACCTACATGAAACTTAAAAACAACAATACCACAGACCACACACAATACAGACTAATTACATGTCTTCCAACACTCTACAAATTATTGACAGCATGTATTGCAAACAAAATATGCAAACATGTTGAAGAACATGACATTCTTACAGAACAACAAAAACTTTGCCATAGAAATTACAGGGGATGCAAAGAACAGTTACTCATAGCTTCAGTCATTCTACGGCAAGCACACAAACAACACAGAAACATACACATGGCAGATATAGACCAGAAAAGCATTCAACAGTGTTCCACACAGCTGGCTGCTACATATTCTACACATGTAAAAAATACAGCCATCACTCATTGCACTCTTCCAAAACACTATGCAGCACTGGAGAACAACACTATATCTCAGGGTTAGTAACACTTCCATACAAACAAATGAGATATTCATTAGGCAAGGGATTTTTCAAGGAGATTCCTTGAGTCATCTCTGGTTCTGTCTAGCTCTGAACCCATTATCCAGCATGTTAAACAACACGCACTATGGCTACAATATCAGACATGAATAAACAACACAGTTTACGCTGTTACATCTCATGTACATGGACGACATAAAACTTTATGCATCCACACAAAAACAACTTCAACTCCTACAAATCACACACTCATACACTAAGGACATACAAATGGAGTTTGGCTTAGACAAATGCAAAAAACTTCACATAGAAAAAGGAATCCTGAAGAAAGAAGATTTTGCACTTGGAAATGGAGACGTTATTGAATCCATGGAAGAGGGCGAGTTCTACAAGTATTTAGGATTCCAACAGGCCAAACTAACAGAACATACACAAATAAAGCAAAGATTAATTAAAGAATACCAAAGTAGGTTAAATGCTATCCTCAGAACACAGTTAAATGCAAAACACACAGTTAAAGCAATAAACACATATGTCGTCCCAGTACTCTCTTACTCTTTTGGAGTTATACATTGGACTCACACAGGTCTTGAGCAACTCCAAAGGAAAACAAAAACAACACTTACTAAGCATAAACAACATCATCCTAAATCCGCTATAGAAAGATTAACCCTTCCATGTACAGATGGCGGACGTGGCCTGATTGACATAGTTAACCTTCACTACAAACAAATACAGTCACTGCGAGAGTTTTTCTACAGGAAACAAGAAACATCACAATTACATAAAGCAGTTAAATAAAACAGTAACTCTAGCAGACTCAAATAACATACCATTAAACTTACATTCACATCATACAGACTTGACACAACATATAAAAAGCATAGACACCATCAAGCAATCATGGGCTCAAAAGGCACTCCATGGTAGGCATCCTTATGAACTGGCCCAGGATTTTGTTGACAAAACTGCATCAACAGGTGGTTAGATCGGGGATGCCTCTTTGGGGAGATGGAAAGATTCATGATTGCCATACAGGATCAGGTCATAAATACTAAAAACTACAGAAAACACATACTCAAAGATACAACACTCACAAATGTCACATCATGCCAGAAACTATACAACACATTACTTCTGGGTGCAAGCTCTTGGCACAGACAGATTATTTACACAGACATAATCAATTAGCAAATATAATACACCAAGAGCTTGCAAAGAAACACAAATTGGTAGACATTCACAAACCATACTACAAGTATATTCCACAGACAGTTTTGGAAAACAACAAGCACAAAATGTATTACGACAGAGCCATAATCACAGATAAAACAATTTACCACAACAGACCAGACATCACACTCATTGACAAACACCACAAAATCACATATATTATAGACATATCCATTCCAAACACCCACAATATAAAAAACGCATTCATTGAAAAAATTAGCAAGTACACAGAACTTGCCCGGGAAATAAGGCATCTGTGGAGGATGGAAAGGGTGCTTATTGTACCTGTTGTTCTCTCCTGTACAGGTGTGGTACAAGTTGATTGGAGACAGTTCCTTGTACTTTATATTTAGCTATAATATTAGACACTGCACTTTGTGTACATTATACATGTTTTGCAATTATCTACTGCTTTTCATCATGCTTGTAATATTAAATTATCATCTCTTTCTTTGCATCACTTAATTCTGGTGTTTTGGCATGGTTTTAGAATGCAAACATTAAGCACAATTATGGTTCTGCAGATTCATTCTGAAAGTGTGATATTACGCAATAACAGTGTCACTAAATTAACTTTAATATGGAACATGCCCATCATATTCTAAACTTGTCCCTGCTGTGTTAGTATTCCATATTTTTGTACCTACTCTTGATTAGTAAAATGAATCATACTTTTTTCATGATGCATAAAACTGATTTCATTTTAGCACATATTTATGCAAATATAGCTTCTCAAAATTTGCATAAGAAAGCAACAAGCAAACATTAAATATTTTTTAAAACTTGCCTATGAAATGTTGTGATGCAGGAATTTATAACATTATTCCATACTTTTGACCAAGGGTTGTATATATTGTAATAATTTAATATATTAAACAGATACAATAGACCATGTTTACAATTCCTTAACATCTTCACTACTAGTTGATGTGATTTTGTGTCAGGACATGTGTGATGCAGAATTATGTCAAATAGCAGTGACATGTTAATAAATTTTCTGTATGTGCAAGATGCATTTAGCCATTTGGACTGATGTAAAATTATTTTGTTCTATTATATACATAGAATACATTTAATTTATAATTTTATTTTTATAATTTATACTGTATAAAAAGGTTCAACAATTAAATCTTTTGCAAACATGTAAAAATATTTAGAAACAAGATTTATTGTGTGTGATAGCTGATCAATATTATTTCCTATAATATACAGTTTGAGATTTACTGTTAATGCAATACCAAACATTAAATTTTGCTACAAAATAGAGAAAAGTTTGGTTGACTATAAATTGATATAAAAAAATAACAAATATATGGTAATGATGATTTTTTATTGTGTTTTTGTATGATCCATGGGATTTAGAACAGTTGCAATTTCAAAATCAAAAAACAAAATTATGATGTTGATCTTTGATAGCAATGGAATCATTCACAAAGAATTTATTCTTCCAGTTAGGTAGTGAATAAATAGGATGATTTACAGTTTTTGGATTATTTAATTAAAATAGTTTATTGAATGAAGTCTCAGAGAAAAAAAGAACAATTTCTAGTGTGTAATCATATACAGGCTTCATTTGGTAATGATTGTTAAGAAGTCATTGTTAAAGCACAAGTCTGCAGAACTAAAACATCTCTTTTATTCCTCAGATTTGTTTTACATAGACTTTTTGTTAACATCAAATCAATACTGAAAAGAAGACAGTTTGAGTATATAAAAGAGAAATATAGTATAACAAAGGTATTGGTTGTGCAAATTTAAGAGTTTAAGAAATGCTTCTAATAATTCTTTGAATGAGTATTAATTCTCTGCTAGATTATGTTGGACAATATTAAGTTTTTTTTATAATAGTCATTTTCTAAATTCATAATTTTATAAACTTAATTGTCGAACTNTCTCATTCTCCAATCTTCTTTGGTATCACTGCTTTTGGGCGCGATCGTTCAAACTTCGCTGGCCACAACCACGAAGACATCCACATTGCATTTTCAATGAAATTAATCTATCCGATTTTGAAATTTCTCTCCATTGCATGTCGGCCCGGGTTGAATTTTTGTTGATGTGTAACGAAAATTTCCCATTTGTGAAAACAATAATCATGGCTATTGTAGCATCTGAAATTATTTCTTTATTTTGTGCAAACAATGTACAGTTTAACCCAATTATAATGTCATTGGATGTAACAACAACCCTAATATAATATCAAATTTTTATCGACCCATGATTTTACTATATTAGATAATGTTAAAAAAACCCACATGTAACAACATAAAACCATTTTAACATACTGGAGTTTTGAATTTATAACGATATCATTGTAAGTGAAAAAAATACAATAAATTATATTCATTCTTAAATTTTTAAGTATTTAAAGAAAGAGAATTAATGATCATTAATCATTATCTTATTTATATTAATATTATACAAATATATACTGAATTTTAAATGTTTTAAATCAAATAAGTTTTATAACATTAATTTCTATAATAAATTTCAAATCTTTAGTATAATCATTTTAACTTGTGAATTAAATTTTATTACTATATTTTTTATTTTCCCATTCAGTTAAAATTATGAAAATAAAAACTTTTTGTATTTAAAGAATATTATGTAGAACAGAAATGTACTCAGCAAAAAGAACTAATCAAGTAACCAAACACCTTATTCATTGCCGACGGGGCAAACGTTTCATTTTATTAATTAAAAACGAATGTTTTTGATCTATTCAATAGATCATCTTCAGATTAGAACATACGAGTATGGAATACATTTTAAAATGGAACATCATATTCAAAATTCAAAAATATCAATAACAGATCAACTACTTAGAATAAGAATTAAATCATAAATGATATACAAATTAAAAATAAATAACCTAATGCAATATTTAAACAATAATACAACATAAATAAATAAAAGTTATTAAGTTTCGGTTAATATGGTTATGGATCATATTACAGTTTATGAGCTATTTGTAAGCATTTTAATGGCAAAATGGAAATATACAGGAGCAAACTTGATGAAGGATGTATAAATGCTAGAGATGCGGAGCGTCTACCTTCAGCTTGGAAGTTTGCCATTAAAAAGATTACAAATAGCTTATGAACTGTAATATGATCCATAACCACATTAACCGAAACTTAATAACTTTTATTTGTTTATGTTGTATTATTGTTTAAATATTGTATTATGTTATTTATTTTTACATTTGTATATCATTTACGATTTAATTCTTATTCTAAGTAGTTGATCCGTTATTGATATTTTTGAATTTTGAATGTGATGTTCCATTTTAAGACGTATTCCATATTTGTATGTTCTAACCTGAAGATAATCTATAGATTAGATCAAAAACGTTTGTTTTAATAAACCCCCTCGGCACCGAATAAGGTGTTTGGTTACTTGAATATTATGTATGTTTAAATAATAATAAATGTGCTTTCACAAATTAGTATCATTTCTGTTTAAAGAGGAAAAAATTTTTTTAGTCTTCAAATAAATTCTAGTGCAGTGATGTCCAACCTACAACTTTGCGGCTGCACTGCGACCCACTGCACTCTAAATTTTTTATGTACCTTTTCATTTATTTTGGTAAAGTATGTTGTAAAAATTATTTTTGTTTATTGGCTACACTTTGATGTCATAATGATGTAATTGGTGCTGGAAAACTGTACTATGCCACATGCAAGACATGCTGTTGTGAACAATTCATTTTGTGCATGAAAAACATCAAAAACTGCTCAAAGAAATAGATTGAGTGGTTCCCATTTAACTAACATTCTTACAATTAATACCATAAAAACAGATATTGACAATAATATAAAAGGAAGGCAGTGTCAAAAATCACATTAAATTTATTTTTTTTTGTGTGATTATAATTTTTTTACTGTCAATAATACAGTATTTTATGTAATTATATATATTTGTTATTAAAACTTGATATTCACATTTTGAACTTTTTACAATCATATATTTATATAAAGTACTTTTGTGGCTTGCTGAATATATGTAAATTTCTAATTTGGCCCATTAGGAAAAGGTTGTCCAGCCTTTTTTCCTAATGGGCCAAATTAGAAATTTACAGAAATGAGAGTTCTAGGGAAATGCAGCTCGGAAATGAGTGTGTACAGTACATTTATATTACTTCATTAGCAATTATGCTGATAATCCTTATTTAACTTTCAGGATCAAATAACCACTAATTTTTTAATCAATAAAAATGAGCATAAAATTCAACTTAGACTGAATGAAGAAAGTGATACATAAAACAATATAAGCCTAGAAGACAACTGGTTAAATTTAATAAATTATTTTATAATTCACAAATGTGATGCATTTTTAAAACAAGTAAAATGGCAAAGCCATATTTGTGACAAGACTATGTCTAAGAGACTCACTACTAAGCAGAATCACTTTGACGCTCAAGGTGGGTCTTGTTCTCATTTTCCAATCTTCTTTGGTATCACTGCTTTTGGGCGCGATCGTTCAAACTTCGCTGGCCACGACCACGAAGACATCCACATTGCATTTTCAATGAAATTAATCTATCCGATTTTGAAATTTCTCTCCGTTGCATGTCGGCCCGGGTTGAATTTTTGTTGATGTATAACGAAAATTTCCCATTTGTGAAAACAATAATCATGGCTATTGTAGCATCTGAAATTATTTCTTTATTTTGTGCAAACAATGTACAGTTTAACCCAATTATAATGTCATTGGATGTAACAACAACCCTAATATAATGTCAAATTTTTATCGATCCCACGATTTTACTATATTAGATAATGTTAAAAAAACCCACATGTAACAACATAAAACCATTTTAACATCATGTTTGAAGCACTCCCAAATTTACAAAATTAGATTACAAATTTTATTTGTATTTATGCGTTCATTACTAAGGTCAGATTTCACTTCTTAGAATGACTGTGGGTGGTACTCTCCCCTACCTGACTTCGGTGGGGTGAGGTGGCTGTTTTGCCTGTTTGTAGAAGAGGGTCACCATTTTGTATTTTATTTTGACTCAATTCTTGGTCCCCCGACTACCTACGAGTCTGGATTTTTGTATGTGCAAATGATTTGGGCACCTAATACTCTGTGCCAAATATCAACTCTCGACATGTACTCCTTCATACCTCTATGCTGGTAAGAAAATTGGGCAGTACAATTTTATAAACAAGACATAGTCTTGTCAATTACATGTTGAAATATAAACCATGTAGATTTCTTTTAAATTTTCAACTTGAAAAGATTGTCTGTTCTCATGTCAGAAAGCCTTATATTTTACTGAATGTTCACTCAATATCTACTGTAATTATTGATTTAGATTTCATGTTTTACAACTTCTGTTTTTAAATAGAGAGTTAATGTTATATGAATTATTTCTTATTATTGTACTACATCACATATAGATTTCCAGCAAGGATTTTTTGTTAAAACTTAATCAAGTTTTTCTTCAACTGATCTACAGACAATACCAATACCAGAATTTAGTTTTGACTGAACCTTTTCAATATCCATCAGACTGGAAAAACAATTTTATTCATTTTTTCTAGTAAAAATTGATTTGAATAAAAAAACCAAAAATAGTTGTTGCAATGTGATTCTTAAAAGAAATGTTTTTGGTAGAGTTTTCACTGCTTGTATAATTGCAAAATTAGTAGATCAAAATTAGAAATTATATCTCCTGTTTTCTTCAAATATTTTTTACAGTACAGCTTCAGTCTAAGAATTTACCATGCAAGTGGGATTTGAGAATAGGTGCAGTTTATTTGAGTACAAGAATACAGTTGGGATATTTTACATTTTCTTGATACTTGCAATAAAGTAATTATAACACTTACAAACCAAAAATCCAGCTCAGGAAACATAATGTTGGAGAAAAACGAATGTTTTCAATTGCTTTTATCAATCATCCTCAAGTTAAAAGAACTTATTCAGAAACACATATCGGAATAGAACATATGATGGAATATAATAATTTAAAATATGAAACAAATGCCTGATTGGCCATCAGATGTCACGTGTTTGTATTGGGATGTAATTATCTAGATATAAAACTAATATTAAAAATTCAATAATGCCTTCCAATTTGTTTCACAAGCTGAATTTTTGGTTGTGTAAGTGTTTTGAATAATATTCAGTATTTAATGCATTTATTATAAAGTAATCATCTTCAGAATAAATTTTTTCAACTTTCTCAGTTACCCTATGCAGAGTATTAGCTAGAAATATCATAATTTGAGGAAATATATCCTGTTGAAGAATAGTCTGTTATGCTTTTACCATATATGATGATGATTTGGATATTAAAAGTGAAATGTCTTCAGGTCATAAAGTTAACATTACAGAATTAAACAGACAAAACACTTGTATGATTAACTTTTTTAAGAAAAGTTAAAAGGTAGGATTTAGTGGATTTATTTGGTTTGTTGATAATATCTATGATAACATTTGTAATATTTGTCTATACTATTTGTAGTCTTTTCAATTGAAATCCATATATACTGGTTCTTTAAATTTTTCATAAATTTTGGATATGTTGTCATTTTAGATTTTGTCAGTGATGTTTTGAAATTGATTTCATTGGAATATTGACATCTTGTATATTTTTCCAGAAAACCATGAAATACAGGATTGCTGTTTTCACATTGAAATACCTGCAGTTTTAAAGCAGTTGTTAAAGCCAAATTAAAATAGGATTATTTACATTGTGTTTCAGAGACTTCATATAAGCAATATTTGTTTATCATGATTCTTCTTTTCATCATTTCTTTAAGTAAACTGAATTTAGATGTTGCTTCAAATGGTCCAATTTATCAGTTATCAGAAACATTTTTTTGCAATGCAAACAAAATGATAATGTATCTTCTGTACTAAATATGTTTTGACCAAACCGTAAAATGTAAGAATGAAGTCAAAGGAAGTAAATTATTTTTATTTTTTTAAATTTTTAAATAGTGAAAATTCTAATTAGATTATATTATAATACAAGTAAGTTAAATATAAATAATAGTATATAAAACAAATTTTAATGTTTTTTTTTTGTTCTAGATATACAATGACAAAATCTACATGTATTGTGTTTATTCTAATGTTTTCTTTAATATTTGGATTAGAAAAAAAGGTAAATTGAATTTTGTTGTTTTAATAAGTTTTATTTGATATTAATAATAATAATGTAATTTAAATAACTTTCCAATTATAATTTTTTTAAGTTAACATATACATTTAAACATAATGTAAACATGAGTTTTTATTTCTAAAAAATTGTTTTTCAGTTAATAATTTTAATACTGTATTAATTATCAATAGATAATTGGTAAAATATATTAATAGATATTTTTCTGTTGTAAAAATATTTATTCAAATACTAAACATTATGAATTTAGAATAGATATACAATGTGTAATGAAACTGTAATAATACTTTAGAGATAGATTCTAGGATCAAAATTAAGCTTATAAATTTCTGTAAACACTTTTCAAATTCTGTTTTGTTTTAGAAATCTGGTCTGCTAAAAAGTCATATTGGAAACAATTTTAAACTTTCTGGCCAAAACAATACTGCTATTTGTTTTTCATAGAAATGGAAAAATAAAGAAATATTATTCAAAATAAACATTTAAAAACTCTTGCTTTTCAATAGATGGATACTGCAAAATCTTAAAAATGGATTTGTTTACATTTATTACAGTAGGACCTATTTTGGCAACATTTACTTTTTTTTAATTATTATTATTATTATTATTATTATTATTTTTAAATTGCATGGTCTTTGTAACTTTTATTTAAATCGAATTATTAATTCAGTATCATAATATCCTCACAACTTTACCACCTGTTAATATTTTAATGCAATAAATCTTTAACTGTTACATACAAATTTAATTATTGTACATATAGCATAATTACAGTATTATTTGCTGAATTTATTAAGATTTTATTTCAATTAAGCTGGAAAAAGGAACGCTATTATGCTTAGCAGCATCAAATGTTGCCAAAGATGAGGATATTTATTTAATATGCATTCTCTGGTTGTAAGATTTTTCAGATGAGATTTTTTTATGTGACAAATGAAAATTTTTTTTATTTCCAAATTGATAAAGTTATTTAATTTTTTTTTTATCATTATCTATATATATAAAAATGAATGTGTGTGTGTGTGTGTGTGTGTGTGTGTGTGTGTGTGTCCTTCATGCATTACCACACCGTTTATCCGATTGCCGTGAAACTTTGGGAAGTTGTTTAATATACTCCGGCGAAGGTTTGTGGCATAGTACGATTGCCATAAAACTTTGGAAAGTTTTTTTAATTTTTTAATACACTCCCGCGAAGTACATTTATCCTACGATAGATGGCGCGCGTTTACACGAGCATTCGCGCACAGTGTGTTCGATCGATTTCAAATTGTGAAGACCATTTCCCCCCTTCAAAAAATATCTCTATATATGCATTTGTGAACTGTTATTTACGATATTTGTAATCATTTTTGTTTAATCACTTTATTTCGACTTTTTTTGCTAATTATGTTTTCGCTCGAACTTCGTTAAAATCTTAACTGTACCCCGAACAACGACCGAAGTTGTAGGAAGAAATTCGCCTATTTTACCAATCTAGGTAACCCCCCTTTTCCAAATTTTAATATCGACTCAAAATAATTTAAAAAGACAAATTACAATAAAACGGTTTATTATCCAACTATCAGAAATTTCACAACATGCCAAGGAAGAGAGGAAGGAGCAATTAAATAATTAAAATTATAAAGGATTTAAAAATATGTATAAAAATGGGGAATATCGCACTTCTGACAATCGCAGCAAGTGTGTGGGCTAAATTTGGAGAATCCGTGCTTCTCGCATGGACAACTGTATGTGGCCGGCTCACGCGTCGAAAAACCTTCCGATTTATTCATGTACACATCAGACGGAAAAACAAAAAATATCGTGTATCCACAAACACTCCAATAAATAAATAGAATTGAAACAACACTTTGAAATGTTTTCCCGATGAAAATGAATAATAATAATAAGTTTCAATAAAAATAATAAGATGTAAATTGAATTTTATCGTAACGAGTTTGCTTGAATTTCGTTTCTTCTGAGATCGCAGCAATGCACGACGGGTAAGCTAGTCATCAATAAACTTTATTGTATTAGGATAATTTCGTTACATCAGAGGTATATAGACTTTATATAACTGACATAACATTGCAATACTTTTCTTATATTGTTTAATACAGATTAACCCTTAAATAATATTATATAAATCAATTAAATAAATTAATTAACAATTTTCATTTAATTATAAACAAAAAACTATCATCTTTGTTATTTTCAATTATATTTTTAATTTTACAATACCTTACTCTAAATCAATAAATCTTTGAAAATAATTATACAAATTATATATAGTTTTAATCTCTGACCTATTTAAAAAGTGTACATACACTTTTCATCTTTAATATTTTCTAATTCATGAAGATTATATTTGTACTGAAGTCCATGAGCTTCACATAAAACAAAGAGATGTATTTTTGAATATTCATTTTTGCATATATAACATTTATCATTAGATAGATCATATGTAGAATTATTAGTTATAATTAGATCTTTATTTAATCTCAATTGTATGAAAAATTTCTTAATATTAAAAGGCATATTCAGACACAAATAACTGTTAACTTGTGGATAGTCCAAAATAATTTTTTACTATTCTCGATTTTTTTATTATTAAGTTTATCTATATCTTGTGACAAGGATATCTCAAAAACATTCTGAATCAACTGGAAACTCAGTAGTTTACTCATCTCATTCCGCTCCATAAATGGACCTATAGAAAAGCCATATTTATTTAAAGTAGTAGATACTTGATTAACCCAATTATTTCCATGCAAATTAATTTGCATTTTTTGATATAATATTTTCGATAACTTGGATGGTAACAACTCTATCTCATTTTTTTTTTTAAATTAATTACTCTCTTTACATAAAATGGACATAAATAAAGAGGTAAATGGCATCTATTTTCTTGTTATTTCTGTGAATCATTCCATAGTTTACAATTCTACTGTAAATAATTTTTTTATTTTTATCGATGCACTTATTTTACTTTATCATTCTATTTTATAATTTTAATAGTTTTACAGTATACAATGTCACGGTTTTAAATTTTATAGTTTTAACTGTGTACTTTATTATGTATATTGTTTGCCTTACAACGTTATGTATCGAACCATTATATTTGCTGTAAGTTCAAAACCTTTTTGGTTTTATAAATCATTTCCATTTTAATTATTGCCTTAGCAAATACCTGTTAATCAATTATCATCATCCATATTGTATCTATTGTTGCAATTTCCTGTACTTCTCATAATCATGTAAGTTTAACAATCTTTTACATATTTTGTAACATTGCAAAGTTTTTATGCTAACTTGTATGCATTATTCCCTAAACAGTTATATTACATGGAGTTGAAAAGGGACATAATGTTTGAAATGCATTTTCAGGGAAATAAAGATATGATTTTCTAAAGTTTGTCCTCTTTCTGACTGATGGTGTAATAAGTCTAGTGAAAAAGGAAAAGCCATCATAGAGCTAGTATAATTGAAAATGGACACAATTTAAATCTACTCAACTCTAATCTGAGATCTCTTCCCGGTATATTATATTTCAATGAAAACATATTACAAATAAATTGAAAATGTAGTTCACTTCATGCCAGCGTTTAGAAATTAAAAATATGATACTTCCGTGTTGTGGCGTGTATGCCGCAACACGGAAGTGTCATATTTTTAATTACAAATAAATTTATTTTCAACTATTTCTAACTTTTGATACTTATTCAAACACCAAACTGGTGAAGCATAGCCAACTGAATTCATCAGAACAGAATTGAATATCCTAAATTGGGTAATGGGATTTCTTAACTTTAATTGGCTAAATAATCTCTGCATATTATTAATCTATATATTAGATTTTCATACATTTTTTATATTGTTTCTCAAACGATAAAGTAGGAGTCAACATGACTGCCAAAAGTTTGATTTCTTGGACCATTTTTAACTCTTCATTTTTAAGATAAAAGGACATATGTTTCTGGGAAGTTTACCTCCATTTCAAAATACCATCACGAATGACTTACTGGAATTTATTTTTAATTTTAATTCCTCACAAAACTCATACATAATTTGTATCTTCCTACTTAAGGCAGCTGCTGTCAGCTCAATAGCACTATGTTGTCTGCATATGATACTGAATGTACTACCTGCCTATCAATTAGAAAAAACCATTTTCCTCTCTCACAAAACAATCATTGAAATCTAATGTATAAAAATTAAACAAGTGTGGTGACCAAGGATTGCCCTGTAATAGCCCATGATGAATCTCAAAAGCTGATCATTGTGTAGTTTCTTGTTTAATAACTACTTCATATTGACCAAATAGTAAACCTATTATTCTTATAAATTTTTCTTCTGCCTGGTGTTTGACCATTTTTTTTTTGTAAATTTTAAATAACAGAATCATAAACCTTCTTAATATCTAAAAATAAAGCAAAAACTTTGTCTCTTTTTACTAAGCTGCAATTGAATAATTGCAATTGAAACAAACAAGGTCAAATAAGTGACTCCACCTTTAACAAATGCAAATTGAGTATAATTTCTATAATTATTCTGTTCAACCCAATCATTAAACTTGGTTAATAAAACTGATGTAAATAATTTATGAAAGCTTGAAAGAAGTTTTATAGGTCTGTAATTTTGTAGAAGTTTCCTCTCCTTTTTCTAAACAACATGTATAGAACAACCTTATTCCAGTTTTTAGGAATCTTACTCATGTTATAAAAATTATTAAACTGTCTAACCAAGAATTCTACAATATTCATTGGTAAATTTTTAATTATAAAATTGGAAATGAAATCATAACCTGGAGCAATGTTATCTTTTGATTTTCTTATATTATTATTTAGATTATTTGCACTGAATAATTGTTCATATGTTTCATCTATTAACTGGCAATTATATCTGGAACTAGGAATATTTTTATATGAATAACTATCTGAAAAGGTTTTAAAATACCAAGACCAACTCTCAAATGAAACCAATAATCTTTTGTTTTCTCTTAAAACTGGTTTATGAAAATTATTTATAATATTCCAGAATGACTTTGTATCTTTTATATTACTCAGTGTATCACTTAGTTCTGCAAAAAAGAAAAATACTTTATCTTTTTTGCTTTTATATAATTTCTATAAATTCTTTTATTATCAAAATATTCTTTCAATGACTGATTTGAGTTTGTCTTTCTAAATTGTTTCAAATTTTTTGTTTTTTTAATTCATAATAGCACTTGTTGTCAAACCATTTTTGCTAAATTTTGGATTTTTAAACTTTTTTAAGCTTCTAAAATGATATTAATCTAATAATGATATTAATTTATAATAATTATTCACTGGATCTTTCTGTTCTTTATGTAATATTAAATCATATGAAATATTTTCAGATTTCTTCAGAAACCTATGTTTATTAAAATTACCACATTTACTTCTTTTTAATTTTAAGCTTTGCGTATGTTCCTGGAATGTAATGGCACCTTTTAAACTTCTAATCATTTTCAACTGTACTGGAAAATGGTCTGAATCATGAGGTTTAGCACCTCCATCATTACCCACCAACAGTAAATCTGAAAATGGTGATATTCCAGCAGAATATACTTTTGCATCACATATTGGTAAATCATTAGTAAATTGTAACATTTGTTCAGAACTCTTTACTGATCCAAGATTTTTATGTAAATTAAACATTTTTTCTTTGATTAAACATACTCAAGGAAAACTTTTTCTATACAAAGAAATTTGATTATAGTTTTGTATCTCTTTCTGCAGTTATATCATAAATAACTGCTGAAAGAGATTTTTTTAGATTATGGACTGACTTTTATTTATGAGTACTCAATGCATGAGAATTTAATATAATGAGTTGTTTCTTTTTATTTCTCTCTTCCATTTATGAGACAAAATATTTGATATTTACAAGAACAAAATATGCTAATCATGGATGCAGAGAGATTCAAATTCTTTAGCATTCTGATTACATGGCTTATAAGTTTTAGTCTCCATTTTATTTCACATTGTTTCTTGATACATTGAGGTTAGTACTATTGTTCTACAATTTTATTATTAAAAGCCAATTTTAATGTGCCAAATTTCTGTTTACTTGTTGCCTTAACCAGCTTTTGTTTTATTATTGTTAAATAAAGAAATGTCTAATAACTTATGTATTTGCTTACAGTAAATTTCATAAATCTCAGCCAGGCTGATGTGATGCACAGAAGCAAGGACAAGTATATGAAGTATACAGGTTACATGAATTTAACTGCTTTTGAAGCATTTCTCAGCTTACTTTCATAGACATACTATAAATATTCCAGAGTCTCTTTTGGGTATTGTGCAGTTCCTGGCAAGATTTTGAAATGTACTGTATGTCACATTCACTTCTCTTTTTGTATTTGTTTCTTGTATATTGATAAATAACTTAATCAACACTTTTATTTTATTTCATGTAGAATCATTGGTTGATAAGATAAATGTGTTTTGTATCACTTTAATGTTATTTGAGAATCATGGTTAGAGTGACTACATTATATCAGAATAAGAGGTACGAATTTTGATTGTAAGAAATAATGGAAAAGTGCATATTAATTTATAAGATTTTGGTTTACAATAAATTTTCAGAAACAAGATATGATTATAAATTGAGGTAACGTTGTAGTTTTCTCTCAGTTAAGGAACATAAAGATGATTATATTATTCTCTTACTTGGCGTTTCACTTTGTTCTGGCTTATACTTGTTATTCAAAAACTGAATTGCAATATAGATAAAATACAGGATACAGTAAATCCCACATACTCAGACTAATGGGGATAAAGGTTGTCAGAGTTTATGAACGTTTACATTAGCAGGGTATTTTCTCCAATGACATAGAAAATAAGAAGGTAAATAAACAGTACAGTAATTTATTACAATCAGCTCTATATAGAGGTTTTACTAAGCTTTAGTAGATTTTACTATTGCAGGAAATATGCACAAAAAATTTCATGACTGCAATATACTGCAATGTACAGTCTTTATAACTTATTAACTACAGTAATATAATCCATGGTGTCACAGACTTCTGGATATTGAAAACATTTGTTAATTATAATTTTCTATTGTCAATAAATTTCAAATTATTGTATAATTTTTTGAGTTGGTGGGGTTTACTGTATATAATTTTTTAACGCTAAATTATTTTCAACATTATAAAACTTATACTTTATATAAATATTATATTATAAATATTTTTCTTATTTTAATCCAATTGTAGTAGAATAATATCAATTTTGGTGCATATTTCTTTTAAATTAAGCATTTTAGTATTTCTAAGTTAAGTATTCAAAGTATTTCTAAAAAACATAACTTTTAGAGAATATACAGTAGAGCCTCGATTATTCGACCTAATTGGGGACTGGGGCTGGTCGGATAATTGAAAGGGCAGATAACCGAAAAGTATGAAAAAATCTATTATTAGTGTAGTATATTATTATATCCCATGTAATTAGTATATTAGTATATCGCTATTAACCTACTTTGCGTTGAATTTTCATCGATGTTAAGCCTAACAAAAATTTTTTAAAATAATAATCATCGCTATTGTATCGTTAAAAATTAGAAAGTTAAGCCTCATTTAAATACTGGCTCCCTTTCATGGTCGATCCAGTGTTGCCAGCTAAAACACATAAAAATAATATTAAAGTAGCCAAGACATAGCCAAATATTGTAGCGCCACATCA